TTAGAATTAAAATTTATTGTATAATTAAATGGACAAAAATACCCTTAACATATTTTGGTGCAAAATAGTGCAATGGATTAGTCATTAGAGGAGATTTGCGCAAAAAAAATGGTGCAATTCGGTGAATTATGGTATAATGAGGATGGATTGAAAATGCTCTAATATTCCTCAAATCTTCGAATTCATAATCATACTTTTGTGTTGTTACAATGTACATATTTCAGCAGGAAATGTACATTATTCTCTATTTTCCTTTTTTGTTTTTTAGGTAGATAGAGAAATGTAAATGTTTTAGAGAGAGAAAATTGAAGATAGTTAATTGTTGTTTGAGCTCATTTTTTTTAAAATTTATCTCCAATCGTACATTTTTCAAATAAAATAATTTTATATGTAAATTTTTAAAAAAATACTATTTTTTAATCAAACATTTTTCAAAAAAAATAATCTTTTAATAAAAAATGAGGCTCAGGCGAGGGTCAAATCTAATTTGCTCACGATAACGAAGAGTACTTTAACGTGCAAAGATACCTTGAGTATGCCTATGTCACGGTGGTTCTTGTTTGATTCTGATTTTTCAAGAAGTATTTTTGGAAAAAGTGAATTTTTTTTTTAAATATGAATTCACTTACAAAATTATTTTATTGATAATATCAAACTAGGACTAATATGGCTTCTCTGGCTATCCATTCACGGATATCAAGGAATTCTTGTTTTTTCTTTTTTCAGTTTTCACAAATTTTCCTCTTTTAGCCTCTGGATTTTCCATTAAATTGCAATTATTATATCTTTCCCATAAATTTAATGGTCACTCCTCTTCTGTGCTTCCTTTCTAGAGAGAGCCAACGAAAACGAAATTTGGTTTCTTGCCCTTCAGTCTCGTAAAATTAAAAGAAACCCATGTGAGCAATTCTTTTATGTCCTTTTCATTTTTTTTTCTCTTGCTTGTGCAGGAATGTCAATTTTGCTGATATTTGTAAATTGTAAACGTAAATATTGTTTTGTTTATTCATTGCTCGAAATATATAATCAATTTGATCTGCAAATTGCATAATGTCGTTATCTTGATCGTGGGTTATCATTTTTCTGGGCTAATAGTCTCTTGTTGGAAAGCTGTGGTTCTTTTTTCATCGCATATTTTATAATATGAAGGAAAAAAGTTATGTTTTATGGTTGGAAGTTTTGCTATATGGGAGACCAGGTTCAGTGGGTGTGGATTGGATTTATGTTGGATCTATTGCCTTTTGTATGTTATTATCAGTAGTATTTGAATATGTTCTTGCTGGAGTACTGCTTATTTTTATCTTATTTGTTATTGGTTTAGTTATTTGTTAAAAGCTTACTTCTGTTTTCATTGTTGTCAAAGATTTTATATTAGAAGGCACTGAGCGCATTTCCTGGTTCAGGCTTGGGAAGTTGGTTTCTTGAAGTGGGGTTCAGTTTTTCATGGGTTGAACTCAAGAAATCATGGGTAGCTTCAGTGACAAGGATGAAGAATCTCAATTCTTTGATGCCTCAGATCACATTGCAGCAGAATCCAAATCGAGTTATGGGTGCCCTAGGAGTGATATTTGTGAATATGACGTATGGATGAGGAGTCCTCAAAGCATTACAGAGCGACGTAGGAAATTCATTAGATGGATGGGATTGAGCCCGGATAAGTTAAAAGGAGACAATTTACATAACGTATTTGACGATTGTAAAAACCAACACGTTTTCAAAGGAGATGTTGGGAGACTTACGGAGAATTGTGGGACTGTACTTAGAACCTCGATTCCTGGGGATGAATTTTCTTTAAGCCAATCTTCTGCATCAAGTTGGTCCAGTGATGCTTTTGATTTGTCGAGTGCAGTTGTTTCAAGTGAAGAATTTGTATGTAGAACTGGGTATCCAGATGGTGCAAGTGGAATTAGTTTAGATGATATTGGGGAGGAGGGCAAGCCAAGTAATCTTCAAGATGGTGAGTTGGGCCAATTTCTGACGGCAAGGGAGTTTGTGAATGTTTCTCAGTCCTCTCCCTTGCTACAGCTAATTAATGAAAATACTTCAAGAATAATGAATAAAATGAAAGATAAATGGTTGAATAGATTGCGTTCGATGAGGCGCTTAATGAGTATGGGTCAGAAAGATGATATTCTTCCATCCAATAGTTCCAATCAACTTCAGAGCACTAGAGTTCAAAGAGTCGGGGTTCGCCATTGTCGGAAAACGTTAAAGGAACTTTCAGCTCTTTTTACAGGACAAGATATTCAGGCCCATGAGGGGTCCATATTAACAATGAAATTCAGTCTTGATGGGCAATATCTAGCTAGTGCTGGCGAAGATAAATTTGTGCGCATTTGGCAAGTGGTGGAAGACAAGAGGTCAGATAATATTGACATTCCTGATGCAGATCCATCTTGCATATATTTTTCAGTTAATCATCTTTCTGAATTGGCACCTCTCATGGGAGAGAAAGATAAAGCTAACAAATTCAAGAATCTTGGAAAAACATCTGACTCTGCATGTATCATATTTCCTCCGAAGGTATTCCGAATTTTGGAGAAGCCCTTGCAAGTGTTCCAAGGACATGATGGAGAGATCTTGGATCTTTCATGGTCAATGAATAATGTAAGTTAACCATATGCAAATTTGTTATCATTTTTAAATTGTTTGGATTTGATTAAGTTTTTTTTTGGCTTGTTTTCTGTAGTGTCTGCTTTCATCATCAGTTGATAAAACTGTTCGTTTGTGGCGGGTTGGAGTTGATCGGTGCCTCAAGGTCTTCGTGCATAGTGATTATGGTACATACCTGGCTGCATGATCTTTGTTTCAGAACCTTAAAAAAATGACTTATTTGGAGAAAACATCAAACATGAAACTGAACTTTATTTGGAATTACTGATTTCTTTTTCTAAAAAATCATGTGATACAATGCAGTGACCTGCATTCAATTTAACCCTGTGAATGATGATTACTTCATCAGTGGTTCAATAGATGGAAAGGTTCGCATTTGGACGATCAATGGTTGTCAAGTCGTCGACTGGGCTCAAATAAAGGATATAATCACTGCAGTATCTTATCATCCCATTGGGCAGGTTTATTGATGCTGCCATTTTAATTGTTTTAAACAAAATTTGGCTTCAAAGATTTGTCAGTCATACTAATTAGCAAAGTTTGGCCTGTGATATAGGGAGGTATTATTGGCTCAATTACAGGCACCTGTCACTTTTTTAATATATCATTATCAGGTAACTTACATGGAATTCCTGCTTGATTCGCTTCTAGTTCTGCTAGTCCTTTACTTCAAAATGCTGACCTTGGGGTTGCAAGTTTATATATTTTCAGTAGATTATTTTATATACCTCAAGGGACTGGGGAAATCTAATATTGACTTCCAATTTGACTTTCTTGAATTAGAGTAACTTCCTCTTCGTCTCCATTCTTCTGTTGAACTGCGTTCTTTCCACTCTCTTTATTTTGTACTCTTACAAGCATTGTGTTTGCATTTGTGTTCACAAAAGTCAGCTGCACGTGTCCATTTGCATGATGTTTTAAGTATAATTATAATGGGGAATGGAGGAAATTAATTTCCAAGTCTTGTTTGGGTGACGTAACATAAATTAGCCCCAAAATTGAAATTTATCCATGGGGACTAATATTGGTTAATGGCCCTCTCTCTTGTATCAGACAATCATATTCAATTGGGAGCTCAGACATGCTTAACGAGTAAGAAATCACCCTGCAAACGGATAACTGGCTTCCAGGTTAACTTGTATTTTTTACTTCTGGTATTTGTTACCTTATCACGTAAATGCTATTGGAAAGTTTGTCATAATCTTGATATTCTGTGAATGCAGTTTTCTCCACAAGACCCCAGCAAAGTATTGGTTGCATGTACCGATTCACAAGTCAGAATCCTTGATGGGATGAATGTGATTGGGAAATATAGAGGTATTCACCTTCTTCTTGGTTTTGTTTTCTGTGATGATATTATGTCATTCTTTAATGGAATATAACTTCTCCTGTTATTGAATTTTGTTGATTTTATTTCTCTTCTAGGATTAAGAAATTCGGGAAACCAGATTTCTGCTTCATTCACTTCAGACGGAAAACATATTGTATCGGCATTCGAGGATTCTAATGTTTACTTGTGGAACTACATTGATAAGGTAGTGTATTCTGCTTCGCAGCCAAAAGCCATTAGATCGTTTGAGTGTTTCTCCTCTGATGCATCTGTTGCAATACCTTGGTCCGGCTTGAGAATTGAGAATCCAGAGAACAGGTTCATATCAAGCAAACTTGACAAAAATTCTATTAATTCATTGCCTTTCTCAGCGTCCACTCGATTCTTTTTGGGCCAAGAGTTTTTACTGGAGTCGAACCCCAGGGGATCTGCAACTTGGCCAGAGGAAAAGCTTCCCGTGTCTAGTCCTCGAGTCGCAACATCTCCATTGTGTAGATCTCAATACAAGCTTTTCAAGAACTCTTATCAGAGTTTATCGAGTTCGCATTTGTGGGGTCTAGTTATCGTTACTGCAGGTTGGGACGGACGAATCAGAACATTCCACAATTATGGATTACCAATACCCCTTTGACACAAGGCAACAAGGTATGTGGTGCAAGTCCATTGCATGCTGGGCTGGCACAGAAAGATAGTTTTGGCAGTACTGAGGCCTGTTTGGTTCCATGAATATTTCTATCTATTGGCATATCCTGAGGATTATGATCAAGTGGGTCCCTTCAAATTCTGCAAATAAATAACGGTTTGGACGGGCAATGACAGTTGAGGAGGGGTTCAATAAGCAAAAATGTAATCAATTTGCAATTTGGTTACTGGGTCTTAAGATATGATTCTTTGATTTGTGTAGTTACTGGCCCAGAAACGAAACCGAGTCATGTGCAAGAAGATATCGAATTGATTATGTGTATCTGCCTGATGGAAAAGGCCGTGGGACCTTGTACAATTGCTGTTAATGGTGGGACTGCTCACAACATGGTCAGTGGTCGAAATTCGTTTGAAGAAAATAGTGGGGAACGCCATTTTTTATGGCGTGTTTGCTTGTCTGCCATTTTGTTCCAGTTCAAGTTTGCTAGCCATGGCTCGATAGGTCTTCTGGGAGCCTAAAATGTCTCGTAATAGTTTTTTAATTTAATTTTATTTCTTTAGTAGGATTAAATGTTACTGGGTAGGGAAGTTAACTAGACACGAGCCTTATTTTTTTAAGCTCTATAAAGAATTCGGAGTTAAATGTTTCAACAGTCACCAAACTTTACAAATTGTCACGTTTCAGTAACTAAACTTCAAATTGCATCCAACCACTAACTAAACTTACCAAATTTGCACTCCATCACTCACTGTGTTCATTCCGTCTCTACAGTTGGCCTACGTGGATGACGATTTCCACACTTGGCCAGTTAAAACCCATAACATGTATTTTATTTGCCATGTCATCAAACAATCCAAAATCCCCTAAAAAGACGCCTTTTATAATGAAAAAAGCGTGAGAAGGGATGTAGGTTATCAACGATACTTTTCCCCAAATCTCTCATCGAAGACTATTCACTCCCAAATTGTATGAACCCTAGTCCAAAATTGAACGAAATGGAACCGAAACTGAAGGAGTTATAGGGGGGATTCTTGAAACCGTTCAAATGGAGAGAGCAAATAGAGGTAATTCAGAAATTTTCCCTTCTCTTTACAACGTTAATTTCATTGCTGTTGGAATTGTTGTTCGAAGTAGAATTTTCGAAATCATTGGGTTTGTTGTCTATGGAAGAGATTGGTGGTATTCTGGAGTTTGGAAGTAGTTGCCAAGTGTGAAATCCAACATTTTTTTGAGTTGAGTTTTGATTGTTCAAATAACCTCTTTCCAGTTGCTTGTACTCGATTCAATTTTTCAATTTGTTCTTCTGAAAATGTTATGCAGATGAGCCAAAGATGCATTTAACATTGCTATTGCATTTGACCAGTTTATATTTACAAAGTTGAAGTAGTCTCTTCCCAGTTTTCTATTTATTTGTTCTGACCAAGTGAGGCAGGCAGCATTTGAAAAAGGCTTTTGCTGTTGATGTGAATTGAATTCTAATGACCAGCACCAGCACTTAGGGTCCGTTTGATTGTAAAGGTGGAAAGAAAATGTTTTATTGGAAATTGAATTTCTTAAAAATTATTTTACTGGGAATTGTAATTAATTGTGTTTGATTGGTATAATTTTCCACCTGGAAAATGTTGAAAGTTTGGTGTACGTTTGACTTCATTTTTTATTGAAATTGTCCATTAAAGTGATAATTTTTTCTACCATTGCATCTAGAATTTATTCCAATTACCAAAAAGTCAAAAAAAAAAACAAAAAATTTAAACAATTAGAAAAAATTACCATATTTGTTTGACTTTGTTTTGCATAGAAATTGCCAACAAAAGTGAAAATTCTTTTTACAATAGTTGATAGAATTGGTTGCCTTTGCTAAAAAAAAAAAGGGTGGAAAATATTTTTTC